GGTTGGTATATTCGAGATTCTCGCTGAAATACGTGCCATCGTAGTTACTGGTAAACATGATACCCATCGGTGCCGATTTTGAGCCTGTCATGACGTTCAGCTGGATGCTGTAGTTTGTGCTTTCCAGAACAGTATAGGCTTCTTGAACAATCTTGTGATCGTGTTCATCATGCGCGTTGGGGAACATGGCCCGCTGCCACTTCTTGGTATCGGTGGAGATAAAGAGCGCCATTTCGTCGGTGTTGGCGGATGTCGTAGCCACCATGAAGTACCTCTTCACAGCGGCCACATTGACGACACCACGTACGGGCTTATCACCGGCTAGGTTTGGCTCGAACTCTTGGATGTTCCCCTCCTTATCAGCCTTGAAAAAGTCGTCCGAGATGACCAGGCGCCGATCCTCTGAGAAGATCGAATCGACGCCCATGATGATGCAAAGGATGCGATCCTTGTCGAGGTCCGAGTCGCCAGTCGTAAATACGGGAGAAGACTTTGCCCACCAGCAGCCAAGGGTATCAGGACGGAGAGGTTTGGCAGGGGTTTCGAAGTCATCGATTGTGTAAAGAGACACTTCCTCGCAGAGGAAGCCGAGGCAGTGTAGACCGTTGAAGATAATGCGGTCGGGATCCGTAGCATGGAAGTGCAGGATATCGTACCGCTCTGTGTCCCACGCAGCATCGACTTCGAACGTCTTCCACGTCTTGCCTTGGTCCGTAGTGCGGTAGTGTTTTCTTTCATCAGTGATTGCGAACGCCCGCTTCGGATCGAAGTCGTGCATATATAGCCGAGCGACCTTGCCGTCTGGAATGTCCTTGACCACGGACCATGTTGCGCCTGCGTCATCGGAGCGCCAGAGGTTGGACTTGTGAGGGTCATGAAACAGAATAGTATCGGACCCTTCGAAGTAGTTGAGATTGCTGGGCTGAGTATCCAGCTTGGTTGTCTTGAAGGTTGGGTGGTCCTTGGCTAGGAGGGGTGCTGCCCAAAGGGCAGACGCCAGCAAGGCCGCCGCCTGCAGAGCTCCCCTGACCCTCATGATTCGGGGCTTCTAGGTCCGGCAAACATGAAGCGGGAACTCGATGACTGGGATCGTGGAAGCGTCGCCAGGTGTTCTATTTTGCGTTGCGGTTCGACAAACTAAGCGGACGGTTGGTTGGGTAGCTGGCGATGCTGTCGTCGAGATATCTGTTGCGCGCGGAAAGTCAACATCCAAGCTAGCTACTTAAGGTGGGTCAGAGAGGGGCATCGCCGTAACGCTGTCAGGCAGTCGGGGGCTGTGTCACCTACGGATAGCAAAACGGCGATCGGTACGCAGCAGTGGGATGAAAAGTTAGGTATACGAAGCTCTACTGGTAGTAGTTGATTGCGAAAGCCTGGTACTGCATATGACAAGAAGACGGATGGGACGAGAATGTGGTCCTGACTAGTGTGAAGCAACTTGTCTGTGCTGTCCTGTTGCCTGTCTCGCCTGTGCCGCAAGCTGAGACGCCTGCTTGTCAGTTTGGGGAGCGGCTCGCCACAAGTTCGGATAGCAGTCGGGGGAGGATCGGGCCCCATCACGCCCGGTTCGCGCCACTTCCCTTTGGCCTCCGCGTCAGCCTTTCATCCGTTGGTTCCATGTTGCAGATCGCGCAGCGGAGCGCTTCTCCATCCTGGAATTCCACTGCGATTAGAACCTTCAGTACTTACACAACGGAATCGTTGGAAGCAACGGAAGAAGTAGGTGGAAGGGAAGCTCCAACGGCCCGCACAGCGCTTTCAGGCCCAACGAGCATTGAGACGGATCCCGTCTTTTGGGCGCTCCGACCTAGGTGGACACCCTACTCCAGGCATCCGGAATACCACCACCACCACCATACCTCCTCTACTTGTATCACTCAGCCAAAAACACGAGAATCGAATCCAGTAAACAGCCAGCCGCCAAATATGTACAACTCCATCACAGTTTTCATCCTTTGTCTTCTCTACCATTCGATCCGTTCCTCCATAGTTCTCGCACGGTTACACAATCACAATGGTAAAGCATAGGTTATACAACAAAAGACTTCATCGGGAACCAACTCTGGAAAGGGGAGGGAGAGAGACCAAAAAAAAAAAAAAAAAAAAAGTTTGTAAATCGCGATCAAAACCAGAACTTCATTGATTTTCCTCCCTCAGGTACACTACATCGTACGCTGCATGGAGCTGAGCCGGGTGAGCCGCCAAAAGCTTCTGGTTTTCTAACTACGTACCCAAGTCTCATGTCTCCATCCATCCAAAATGCCCAACCAGCAAGTAGCAAATATACACATCTAAGAACATGAAGAACTGTCACCCAAATTCGGCGAAACTCTCTATAGCCCTACCCTCTTTCTAGATTGTCAAGGCTGGCCGAGCAAAAAACGAATAAAAACCCCCCCAAAGTGATGATATAAAAGGACCCCGGTCACTCTGCTGCCTAGGCTGGCACAGAACGACGAGGTAAAGAAATCTAGCATATACATATATATGTAAACCACCCAAACCCATTTCACGTCTCATCACATCTTCATACTGACCACATTTAATCGCCACGGGGCTTAAGGACAACGGTAGCAGTGCCACCCTCACTGAGGCCAACCTATCCAACCTGTTAGTAATTTGCGGCATCGTAAGGGGCAAAAAGTTTGCAAAACATACCGTGCAGCCATTGCTGCCAGAGTATTTGCCGTTCTTGAGCCAGCACTCTCCAGAAATATCACCCTGGATCTCCATGTCGAAGTTGAGGATGGCGTTGGTAGTGGGGGCGTTGGGGAAGATGGAGATATAAGTAACGCCATCGTCACTCTTGCCAACACCAACGTTGACAGGCGCCCAGTTACCGGCGCAGTCGGGGCAGGACTTGGAATTCCAGGTGCAAGCATCGTCGACAGGAATGCCCATGTTGTTGACATAGTACTGAGCGGTGGTGGACTGGCCCTTCCACTTGTAGTAGGAAGAAGACACAGGGTTGGTGAGAGGGTACTGGCCGCCGGGGTTGGTCTCGAGAGGAATGACCATGGCCTCGTTGCCGGGATAGTCGGTACGGCAGATGGCAGCGCTCTTGGGGAGCATGTTCTTGACATAAACACCGCCGGCACCCTGCTCGCAAAGGGTAGGGTGGCTCGCACGCGTGAGCTCAAGGAAGCCGTCGCTGTTGCAGTAGAGACCACCGATAGACTGACCAGTGGCACCTTGGGAGTCCTCAGGCCACTGAGTCTTCTGGTAGCCCGGAGGGCAGGCATACGAGCACAGCATGCCCGGCTGGCATGGGCCGCTGATTGGCTGCTCGTAGTTGTTGATGGCCACGCCCTTCATGAGCTTGCCAATCTTGGCAAGAGTGGTCCATCCAGACAAGTTGAGCCAGTCAACGCCGAGGGCGCCGTAATCGCTGGGAAAATGATCGCATCTGATCTTACCGCTGGGGAACTCGCTGTCAAGTCCACCGCCAGAGAGGTTCTCAGAAGCCGCCGACGAGGTGGCAGCGGGGGGCTCGCTGGAGGTCGAGCTGGGAATGGGGCTCGAGGAGGTGGTCGGGATGCTCGAAGTGGTGGACGATGAGGTAGACGTGGACGTAGACGTGGACGTGGGCGTAGAGCTAGTCAGCTCGAGAAACAGGGCACCGCCAGGGATGCTAGCCTTCGAGGTCGAGACAACGGGCGGGGGGGCGACGAACGAAGGCTTGGATGAGCCAAGGACGACATAATCACCCTCCTTGATGCCCTTCTCCGCCTCATTGACATCGACCTTCTTGCCGTCTAGGACATACTCGACGACAGTGGGGCCCTGAACGACCTCAGTGACCACGACAGTACCATCGGCGCGCTTGTCAATACCGGCGTGAGCGTGCTTCTTGGCGTGATGGTGACCGTGGTGGTTGTGAGGCTGGGCGACGACGCCGGAAACGGCGGCCGCGAGGGCGAGTCCAATAACTCCCTTCATTTTCGCTGTTTTTGAAGCGGAATGATGTTGTCGAGGACAGGGTTTCTGGTGTTTGTGTAACGGCTTTTATTTACAGGAAAGTGAATGCTTGCTAATCATCGACCGTCCCTGTCAGTCTTTGTTTTCCAACTTGGATACTGCCCGGGCTGGCGCTGAACCCTTCGTGGATCTCTTTGAGGCGAACAAGACGAAAAAAATAAAGGCTGATCTCGATAAAAGATCACCATTGTCTGAGATCATCCACAAGGCACACCTGGTCCCTTCCGCGCCGTAGTGTGGATTGAGGTTGAACATTTTGCAGAGCTACTCACCTGCTGGTCTGGATGGGCGTCTGTACTCGACAACAGCCTGATCCGAATTTCTAAAAGAGTGACACCGCTGTTGTTCCAAAAGAATGTGGTAGAGAATCGAGGACTCTCTGTTGGATGGAAATCCTGATCGCAAAAAAAAAAGCGAAAGGGCGCCGATGATGTGGAGGTGGAAACAACCAAGTTGAAGGAACCGTCCAAGGGAGTGAAAGAAACGGAGCAAGAGAAAGTGGAGGAGGCGAGCTCAAGTAGTGTATGTACATACACCACTAGCGACTGTTGTGACCCCCTTGGACTGCAGACCTAGAACCCTGCACTGCACTACACTTACTAACGAGCGTGGTACACACAGTACGAAGGCGTGCGAAGCGAGCGGTGGGCAGGAAGGTGGGCTGCACTGCAGTGGAACGGGGCAAGACTCTTTCTGGCAAAGGGCTCCAAAGGGCCCCATCCGCCGGGCGGAAAAGCAACGTGACTCGAGCGAAATGAAGAGACCGTGACAAGGCACCCCTAGACGCTTCCTGCCAGAGACATGCAGTGTCTGGGGAACCACAACCAGGGCCCTCGCCGATTCGCCGTCTGGGTGGTCTGGCTGGCTTCCTCCGTCGTCTGCCAGCTCGGCCACTTGCCCTGGACCCGACGCGCCCGCCATTCTCCCGCCGGACCGCAGGACAACCACTGGAGATCCCTTCTTCCTTGGCGAATTGCGCTTCTAGGGAACCAGGAGATATATTGATGCCACGGGAGGAAAGTGGCAGTTATACAACACAACAATGTCCCATTGTCTTTGTGTGTGTGTGTGTGTGTGTGTGTGTGTGCGTGCGTGTGTGGATGTGTGTGTCTGTCAACCAGAGCGGCTGCGGTACACTGCAAGGCACAGGAACCGGGAACCTCAGGAACGCACGTGCAGGCATTGGATTTTGGCGAGAAAGAATTCAGGAACCGCTCGCTGTGATTGGCGAAAGCTGTTGAGTGCCAGGGTCTTTGCGCAGCATCAACAGGGGAGGAGATGAGCAGAGGCCACCCTCTCATGGACTACGGGGGGATGGAGGAAACTGGAGATTGGCCAAGATTGGCCAGAGGCTTCTATTTTTCCATTACCATGAGAAGAGGACGCCATCCATCAGCAATTTTCCACCGCTTCGATGTTTGTTTCATTCATTGCGCTGTGCCACTGCCGCGCAAGCACGATGATGACGTGGACATACCCCGGCTATATAGTGAATCCCTCTAACGCCACCCTTCGATGCAAGAGAAGGAAGGGCATACGGCAAGGTCTAGGTAGCTACGTATGTAACTCTGCTTCGTATAAAAGTCAGGGCTTCCCGGCTCTCCCCAGTTGTACCCGGACAACCAAGGCCTTGCCGACCTGTCTCCCCGTCACTTGGAAGTGCCGAGAATTGTGTTTCTGTCCTCCCCGGCCGGCAGCGGCAGTCGCAGCACAGTACACGCAGGGAATCATTCGCTGGGCTATTGTCCGATGGCATTGTCCGTTCCATGCTTTGTCTCTGTGGAAAAGGCGGCTCCGGAGATTGTGCTAATCACTGCTGCCCTCGGCCTTCTCCCATATGCTCCAAATAGGCGGGCAACTGTCCCCAGGAGTGACCCGGATGGGCAGCGCGGTTTGGCCTGATCCCGTTTATCGTCAATTGAATCCCTGCTGAATTAGTGTCACAGGTTTCTGTTCCTGACTAACCTGTTATGGTTTAGGGTGCATTAGCAAGCTGGCTTCGCCTTAGTGGGCACTGGGCAGGATGGGAAGGGTGGGTCGATTTACGATCCAGCAACAACCTCGTCAGGTTGTGTTTTCGCTTCCCTTTTCTTAGAACATCTTGCTGATAGAAGACGGTGCTACTGTACGAGTTCCAAGACTTCTGGTGAGAGATCTTGGCCACTTGTTGTTGCAGACTGTCGACGTGAGATAGTTGTCTGAAAAGGAGAGATGACAGCGGTCAGTGCGGTTGTGAACAGACCCTGCGGTTCAGCTGCATGCATGAGAATACAGCTCGGATGACAGGCACATTGCGAGCAGGAAATCTAACGACGTGACATCGGACGAATCCAGGCCCCATCACCATAAGCTCGGTATATGTGTTCCTGTTGTTTCTTTATCTTGCCTTAAGTCAAAACATCGAATTTTTGCTTGACGACGACGCTGTTCTACTGGACACTGCGTTGCTCTTTTCCTTCTCTGTTATGAAAGGCTGCTCTTTCATGCATTGCCTCAAGCGTTTCCCTGTCCTTAAATCGCACGGGCCAATATATCCCGGCGTATACTATGTTTAGGTATCTTTCGATGGATGGCTATCAAGCTTTTGGCTGGACGCTTAACACCCGACCAGAGCAAAGTCAAAAATGTGCCGTTATCTTATCGCCCTCTTAAAAACCCTGCGGCCCATCTCTCGCTCCAGCTTTGGGTTGATTAAACCCCTAATCTCGGCTGAACGCCTGACCATGTGAGCGGTGTTGTTGGACTGTTATAGCAACCGTTGGAATACGTCCGGATGCCACGAACATTCCACTGCATCACGCCAACCTGGCAGCCTGGTACCCAGTGGAAATTGAGAGGCTGCACCAAGTCGCAACAGATCGCGATACTGGAACGCTGAATACGATGGCCCAGATGATAGCCCAACAAACCAATCTCCAGGTCGTCAGGAATGCTAGGAGTGGCCCGAGCCACGAACGATCGATCGAAGAACAAGTGTCGTGCTAGCAGGGGAGATGAGGAGCTGTCTGTTCCGACTATCATCAGCATAGAATATGTCATTGATGGATCGATGTCTGTTTGACATTTGCATGAACGATGACAAGATCTTTGCTCGTCGAAGCGATGAAGATACGAGAGTGATCGGCCTTGCGAAGATAACCAGACCCCAGGTTATGATCGGATACATCCCGCATTGTTGTCCGATACAAGAACTACCCGGACCGAGTCTGGCCAGTCTTACGTTTGCCGATCATCATCTCTGAGCACTCGATATTGGGGCCGGGGGCCAGGTTGTCAGAACCCAGAAGAGCTACCAACTTAGAAGAAACTTGATCCTTACTGATCCACTTATTATTGCTGATCAGTTGAGTGCATTTAGAATTTGTCAGTGAACTTCATTGGTCGGGGGAACAAGTGAATAGCTAGAGCTCCAGAGTTACAAGCATGGAAGAAAAGACGCTATTGCTTCCGCTTCCTCAGATCCACATGCTGTCTTCAAGCTGACAGTTGTAGTGTATTGACTGAAAAGCACTCGCCCTCCCTCTGTATTTGTGTTAACCCTCCGCATGAGCAGGCATTCTTGGCATTCTTTGAGGCAGCCCGAACATTAAACCGTCCATTGAGTGTCCAACGGAGCAGAAGAGTAGCGAAAGTGGGCAGGTAAACGTTCTCGGGGCGTTGACTCCAAGTCACTATCAGGAGTTGCAGATGGTAGGTCTACCATCGTATCAAACTCGATTTGATGTGGTTAGGCCATTCCTAACGTCCACCTTTTGGATGGCAGAGAGACGACTGCTTCGTATGACAGTTACAATCAGCAGAAAGAGTGAAGCGGCTCTTTATCGAGCCGACGTCTACTGTGTAGCTGACCGCCGAACATCTGGCTTATGTCGCACAGCGAGCAGTTAGTGATTAAGTGATCTGTGGCATTGGTGACGGCACCACTCACGGATATCTGAAGAAAGAATTCAAATAAGAACACCACTCAAAGTCGGTCTTGAGACAGGCAGCCTGGTTGTGTTCAATATCGTTCAGACGGTGGAGGCATACTCCAAGCTACACAATCCCAATTCAAGGAAAAAGATTACGTTACCCGGATGCCTGCGCCACTTGATCTCGCGACACTTCTTAGTGGCGCCTCGGCGGCGTGGGTGGAATTTGGTGGTGTTCAGCCGAGGATTCAAACACGAAGCAACACAGCCACCGTTCAGCCGTAACCGATGAATGATCTTGACCTCTCCCGCTTGCAGCTTCGAGCTACGGTTGGCGATTCAGAAAGGAGGCCTGCATAGACCTGCCATTTGAACTTAATGTTGTCAGCCGTGGACGCTTGCTCGAAACACCATTACAAAGGACTGACGTCCAGTCTGTCGGCGTTCAATGACTGCTCATCCAATGGGCCCACTTGAGCAGCTGGAGCGCCGAGTAGCTAAGAGCTTGGAGAAATTGGATAGCTGTGTCTAATGAAGCGCAATGCTAGTAAAGAGATATATCTAATCAGTAATGTGCTAGATGAAGCCATGTTTGAGTAAATGAGATGGCTAGTTTTTATGTGAGACCAATTGGCTGGATGATCGGTGGTGGAAGAGCTGAGCAACGATTGGGAAGGGAGGGAGAGAAGGGGAAGGGGGGGGGGGGGGGGGGCGGGTGAGATCACGGTGGTGCGCACATGCAGCCAAACACACCAAGGCTACAGAAGACAGCTGGAAAAGCATGGTGGGCAGCTGTCAGTCAAGCCTTATTGGACAGAAAGCAGTCTTGGAACTACGGCCATTTATTGCCTCTTGGCGGTCGGCTGTCAGCCCGTGCACCTCCACACAACCCAGCCCATTTTTTTTCCCTTCCTCCCCGCGGTCCCCCGGCACAGCCTTTCCTCTCAACCGCTGGCATGAGGCTCACCACTTTGGAAGCACCCCCAGCTCTGGATTCCACCTCCACCTCTCCCTGAATACAGCGTGCTCTTGCCATCAATACGTTCGATCTTTGAGCTTCAGTCGATTGCTAGCTGTAGCCATTGCATCCTCTGTCTAGATCACCATCCCACCCATTGACGTGGCCCATCATCTGCCGGTTCCAGTCGGTGCTTTTAACGAACCGCCACTGACTACTTATCCACGACTCCTCCAACAAGCCGCGCCGCGAGTCTCCAACTTAGAGAGCTCTCGCCACGCTCTCCAGCCACACATCAAAGCCTCCAACACATCATCACTTGGTGATGCTGCCTGGACGACGGTGAGCCTAAAGCGTGATAGCAGTGTATCCATATATTTATTTGGACCACCTAAACCTTCGATTGGACGGCTTCAAGCGACGCCGTCTAGAGTTTCGGGCGACCTTATGGCTTCGGAAAAAGGGCATCTCGCGGCGACCGAGACACCTCTCGCGACACCCGCTACTTCGCAGCTCGCGGCAGCCTCGTCCGCCCCAGAAGCACCGCCGACAGCCACATCCGACGCCGCCTTCGCTCTCGCCGCCGAGATTTCCCGGGCCAAGTCGCTCAAGAGGTCTCGTGAGGAGACCCCGCCATCGCCGGATTCGGTAGAATCATCTTCTCCTGGCGACCTGTCCCCTTCCAAAATCGCCCGCTTGGTCGGCTTTGCCAGGTCGCCTCCGCCCTCCCTAAATGGTACCGCCGATCATGATGAGGAGAGACGCCGACGAGATGAGGAGCACCATGTTGAATCAGTGGCAGCATCCGAAAACCTGACTCATAGCCCTCTGGCCGACCTCATGTCCGGAGCGCCGTCGGGTTTGGCTCGACCACCCGACGCGCCAAGCGTTCCGCCATTGTCGAGTCTGGATGCTGCCGCCGATGCTGCTGCTAGGGCACTGAGTGCCGTTACTATCCCAGCGCCAACCGCGGTTACCAATGAACTCAAAGGTGTCAACCAGCCAAGCGCACCGAGCGCCCCCAGTCTTGCCAACGCGTCAGGCGAGGTAGTCAATAGTCCTGTGCCCATGGACGTCGACTCCCGGGAGGATCAGCGGCTTTATGCGTCACAGCCTGATGCGCAAATGGAACCTCAAGATAAACCTCCATCATCACTGTCCTATCCCGGAGTCCTTCCGCACGGCACTCCCATGTCAGCACCGGCCCCTCCTTCTCGAGGAATGAGTATGCCCATACCGAATGCTCAGGGTGCGGATGTGACGCCTCGGTCACCAGGCTCAAAGAAGCACAAGTGCCCCTACTGTTCCACCGAGTTTACTAGACACCACAACCTCAAAAGCCATCTGCTCACTCATAGCCAAGAAAAGCCCTATGTTTGCTCCACGTGCCAGATGAGGTTTCGAAGATTACACGATCTTAAGCGGCACAGCAAACTCCACACGGGCGAGAAGCCGCACATATGTCCAAAGTGCGATAGGAAGTTTGCTCGTGGGGATGCGTTGGCGAGACACAGTAAAGGAGCTGGCGGTTGTGCCGGTCGCAGGCCTAGTATGGGAAATTTCGGAGACGAGGATTACGATAGTGTGAACCCGACCGGAGCAGATGAATCAGGGCTGTCGAATGTTATGTATGAGGGTGCTGCTGAGGGTGAACTCGCTGCAGCGGAGGAGGAGCGCCGTCGGCTAAGTTTGCCGGCTATCAAAGCCCAACATGTACCCGGCCAACAAACAGCTCCCGATGGTTATGCTGCTCACTCGAGCACTTATCCCCCCGCAGGTCCCCGACCTGGCGGTCTATATCCTCCAAACGTTGATCGCGGGTCTACTGGCCCGCCCACTTCTCCAAGCGTGCCCAACAACCACACTCCTCACACCAGCATATCATCTATACCCCTTAGCTCGGGTGGCACGACCATGTATTCGCAGACTGGGATGACGGAGAGTCCCAAACCTCTGAGTCCGGGGACAGCTCAGCCCACCGCGCTTAGTCACGATGCTCTCACGCGTCAACGAGCAGCACCTCAGCAGCCCCATTTCAGACCAGCGGAACAAGCTCCAGCTTCTGGGTTATCACTACCATCTCACGGTATGTCACCAGCGGCCGAACAAGCCTGGCTTTCCCAATACCCTCCTGCTGACCGAGACCCGTCCCAAGGCAACACTAGTGCGCCTGCTTCTCCGGCAACCCAACAAACAGCCGCTCGTGGACGGAACCGCGCTTCGGGCGGACCTCCTGGTCCTAATAGGCCCGGCATGGTCGACGGCAACAACCTTTTCGCCGCTGGTGAGCAGGGTGTATGGTCGTACGTGCAGCACATGGAGGACAAGTTCAAACACTTGCAGTCTATGGTGGAGGCAACAAGCCAAACCAATACCGAGCTGACAGCTAAGCTTAACTCACACGAGCAACATATCTCTGTTTTGAATCAAAACAGTGCCGAGCTAGTGGCCAAGATCAACACATATGAGCAACATATCTCTTCTTTGAACCAGACTCTAACAAATTTGACGGCCAAGTGTACCAATCATGAACAGCACATTTCTGTCCTGACTGCCGAGGTCACGGCGCTCCGGCAACAGCAGCAGCATCAACATCAGCAGCAACATCAACTTCACCATCAACTAGAACATCATCGCCAGGAAAATCAAGAAGCCAATCTTCAAGAGCACCTACCTCAGCATCAGCAAGAGCATCAGCAGGGCCATCAGCAGCAACACCAATCTGAACACCAACCCGAGCACCAGCCTGAGCCCCAATCAGAGCACCAGCCAGGACACCAGCCAGAGCATCAGCAACAACATCATCAGCCAGAGCACCAGCAACAACACGTCCCTACCGAGACGCAAGAACCCCCGCCTGCAGCACAGCAATAGGAACGCGAACTCGCTCCGGAGGTCGCTGCTTGGGCGAGTGAGGCATGGATTCAGCACATGATTGGCGTCACCGAAAAGTGACAATCCATTCATTTCTATATGGACACAGACAAAGGCAACATGGAGGATACGAGTGGGGAATAAATCGAGTGTCCGGTCGGATCTGTCAGTTTTCGACTCCGGCAATATGCTTATTAGAAAGGCGGGACTCGTATCTTTTCTAGGTTGGGGGTTAGGTGGCCGGCATGGCGTTTTGATAGGCTTCACGTAGTTCACGCGGCGTCTGGTCCAGAGTCTAGAATCAGTTCGCAAGTGTTGCTTTTGCTTTTCGGCTTCGGCTGTTTCATCCTAGTAGATGGTGGTGTGACTGGCACACGCCTGGCTTCGATAATCCTTACATGGCGGGAGGATAGCTCCTAGAGGGCAATCAACAACATAAACGCGGTTTGATGGTTATAATCCACGTTGAGTTTATGCCGAGGTTAGGCATGATGCAGTTGAGGCTATCCGTCTGTCCGTCTAATAAGCGTGTTATGCTTTGCTTCTGCTAATAAGTTTTTATGATGTGCGAACGAGGTTTATGGTATTGGGCTTTAGGCAAGGACCACTGCTAGTGAATAAATTTGGGACAATACAGATGGGGTAGCGAAACGCAAAAGTGTCGGGAGGAAGAGTAAACAAGTATCTATCGTATGAATGTTGCCTGATCTCAAAGTGCATCTCACTGTTCAACCGCATTGCATGGTTATGGAAGGCATGTAAGTATACACGTGTACGGTAATGTCTACTATAAGGCCACTGCGCTTAGTCGGGGTTGAGGTGCAAGATGCTGTCGCTGAGACAGATCGGTCATGGTCTTGTCTTTTCTGAGGCTCTGGCCTAAATCGATCGCTTGGATATATCCAGTAGATTTATAGCCGTCATCTTCATCATGATGTTCTGTCTCAAGGCGTCAAGACTTCCTTTGCGCATCATAACGATGAGGAGAGGGGTCCATGAGCCTGTAGCACGGGCAATATGATCTGGAAACTCTGAACGCGGCCGAAGAAAGATTGCTCGCTGTTCTGCTCTGGGGTGGTGCTTGAAAGTCGTGCAGCCTCCGGGCCATTCCCGGAAGGAACGAGCAGGCAGGACGGGAGCTTTCGGGACCTCGGCCCCTGCAGAGATCACCCCACCCGAGAACGTCATAGATATCTGACAAGTATAGTACTAACAGCAAAGCACGGAATAGATGAGATGATATGTTAGCTCTATGCGCGAAAGCTACATGCTGGCAGGGACTCCACAGCGTCACGAACATCAACCCCTCGCTGCTGCCAGACATCAAGCCATCCATTGCATGCATGCCCTACACATTTGTCAAACCACCAGGCATCTCATCGCTCGAGCACCTCGGCTGGTCCCATCTACAGAGACTGGTGGAATGTGAACATTGCTTTGTCAAGTCCCAAGTCAGAAAAGGTATGTACGTTGCTCATTGTACACTTGTCGATTCTTTTTCGCACGCTCCCTCTCATTCATTCATGCCCGCTTTTGATTGAGATGTGAGAATACCGATTCATATCTCCTTCCAACTTTCCTCGTCAAACTACGTAGTAGCTTCCTCGGTCATCGATCCCTAGCTGCTTCCTACTCCCGTTTCATGGATCATGGCTGCTAAACCAGGAGAACCCCTCGCCGCACTTACTCGCTGCTTCTTTGTCGTCAAGTCCCTGCCCTGTCACCTGCCCGTTCTCCTGCCTGCCCAATGCTGCCCTGGGCTTGCTGCATGCTTGCAGTGAGGTCCCATGTTGACTGTAGTGTAGAATGAGCAAGGAAGGCGCGTCAATACTTCTCGCCATACGTTACTAAGCGTGACAGCGTCCGCAGTTGTCAACTCAAGAACATCTGACCACCACTCTGCACCGTACCTTCTTGTAGGCACCTCTCAGCTACGGCCACCGAGGAGTCTGACCACTGCACCCTCAAAACCCGTCTGGCCCATCCTCAGTCAAGGACCGCCTCTTAATTTTCTTTTCTACCGAGGTGAGCAATCAACTACTGGGACTCCCATCACACATCTTGCCATGGCAGACGCCTCTGGACCCCTTCCTCCGCGGAGCGGTTCCCTGTCCAGAAAGAAGTCCGGCAAGAAAAATAAGAAGAACAGCCAGAAAGCGGCTCCCAGTGAGATACCGGTGCTAAAAGGGGTCGATAAACACGCAGCTCGTCACGGTCAGACCTCAGCCTCTGCTGATCGGGCCTCCGGCACCCCGGCGAATCAGAAGGAGAAACAGCTACATACCAAGACTTCTGTAAGTGACTTCAATTTTCGGTTTTCACCACCCACACACTAATGTTCGTCAGATACCCGACCTGAAACCTTCAACAACCAGTGTTGATTCTGACGCCACTGCCAGCGCCAGCGCATCGTTGGGATCACTGAACACTAAAGCCTCCCACGAAAACCCGGCCAAGATGTCAAACAAGAACAAGAGAGCGGTGACGGATGAGTCCGCCGATTTTTCGATCTCAGATCCAGCAACTACCAACCCGGCTACGCCTTCCTCCACCCAAGTCGATGGGGTCCTCGAGACGGACACTCCGCGGACAGAAGTTTCGCAGACGGCAGGAACGGCGCCGAGTACCGGTGTTGATTATGCTGATGCTCTCAAGGATGCCTTGAAGGAGAGTGGAACGAAGGAGGGAACAGAGGAAAGAGTTGAAGATCTCCCGCAGGAGGGTGCCCGCGAGGAACCAGCCGAGAAGCCTTCCAGGAAGACCGTGCTCCCAATTCATGACGACACAGCTCGAGAGGAGCCCAGCAACGCGGACCACGACGTCAGACGAGAGAAACAAGCCTTGTACGACGAATACCCTTCATTGTATTTCGAGGGCAGCGACAATGAGCTGGCACAAATGGAGCGGGATAGAGCCAACGCATACCAGGCTGCCGGCATCAGATTTGCGCCATTTAACATACCTTTACAGCGAAGACTCCAGACCCTGGCGGTTCTGCTACACTCGCTGATTATTGCCACTACCGTATCCTTCTTTTTCTTCCTGTGCGCCATCCCTTTACTCTGGCCATTGGTTATCCCATATCTTCTTCATATGCTGCTTAGCAAAGCAGCATCCGACGGAAAGTTGCGCTTCCGCTCAGAAAGGTTCCGGCACTCCCGAATCTGGTACTTCTTTGCAGACTACTTCCCGGCTAAGCTGCACAAGACGCACGATCTTTCCGCTGATAGGAAGTACATCTTTGGTTATCACCCCCACGGCATCATCTCACATGGCGCTTACGCCGCTTTTGCCACCGAAGCCCTCGGTTTCTCTGAGAAATTCCCCGGGATTACCAACAGCCTGCTTACCCTGGACAGTAACTTCCGCATCCCGATTTACCGCGACTATATCCTTAGCATGGGCCTCCGCTCCGTTTCGAAGGAGTCAATCACCAATATCCTCAGCCGCGGCGGTACTGACGGTCACGGCGCGGGCCGTGCTGTTACCATTGTTATTGGTGGTGCTCGAGAATCACTGGAGGCTCAACCTGGTACACTCCGACTCGTGCTCGGCGAGCGCAAGGGCTTCGTCAAGGTGGCCATGCGCACTGGCGCTGATATCGTTCCCGTGCTCGCATTTGGCGAGAACGATCTCTACGATCAGGTCAGTCCCAAGAGCCATCCGTACTTGCATAGGCTCCAGATGTTTGTGCTCCGAACCCTCAAGTTCACTCTGCCGTTTTTGCATGGAAGAGGCATTTTCAACTACGATGTGGGTCTGATGCCATACCGCCGGCCGTTGAACATTGTTGTCGGCAAGCCGATCCGGGTTACAAAGAGGGCCGAGAGCGACCTGGAGACAAGCGAGATTGACCAGCTACACGGCCTTTATGTAAAGGAGCTGGAGAAGATGTGGGGGCGCTACAAGGACGGGTTCGCCCCAGAAAGGATTGAGGAAATGCAGATACTGAAATAGGATATCAGAGTGGACAACGGACAGGTGGAGGCGAGGGAGGAAAGAAAGAGAGGATGGTCAATACCATGTGGATTCCACATTCATTAAAGAGACAGATTATCTGGGGTAGTCATGAAATGGGTGGCCAGGACAGTTTTGCTACGGACTATGACAAGGGGCGGATATATCTTTATCACTATGCGGAGATGAAGATATGATTTTCATATTACAAAATGGAGTAGTCGGCTAAAAATACACGTTGTTTGTTCGGTTCATGGTTGTTAAGCCTGCGCTTTCGTCTGTCTCCGATCGAAACCTTGTTCTTCGTCATCTCTCAAAATTATTATAAACTTGACAATGGCGCATACACCTTATTTTTGACACGAGAGTCAACCAAGAAGCTGAGTCACTCTCTCACGATGATAAGATACTGTGCGATCTAGTCATGTCACTCATGAAAGAAAAGAAAAGAAAACACTTTTCAATGCAAAAATGGCTGGAATGCGCAAACAGCAAGCAACAAGTCTCTCAAGTCTTCCCCGGATATCGGTCTATATGTTCCTGTCGGGTCGCCTGACACAACGGACTGGGGTCTCGGTGAACCGAGGGGTTTGAGAACTCGGAAAGGAAAGATGGAAAGAAATGTGCTAAACGGCTGTTTAATCAAACATGGGGATGGAAACAGTGACATTGATTTGGCTTCGAGTAGCTCCATTCGTCCTCATTTGATGATTGAACACGATCCAAGTCGAAGGCTGAGACTAAGGGGATGGACAAGAAATGCTGGGAAGCAGGCTAATTGTATAATGATGATGATGATGATGACGTTATAGGGTTTCGTTGTGTCGAGAACGGGAAGGAGGAGGAAGAGAGTCGGGAACTCGGAGGGAGGTCAAAACGAAGATGAGGCAAGGCAAGGTAAAGTGTTGGTAAATACTCTCTGTGCATCTCTTATATACGTAAAACATCGGGATAGAAGAGGCATCTTTCAGCTTCTTGGCATCTGGAGAAGATGATGGAGGGTCGAGGCTGCCGAAATGTGTTGAGAGGGGAATCAAATCGCTGTTCTTGATGTTGTGATGTCCGTCTCTCTCTCTGACTTTCTTCTGTGACTATCCGGGTCTTGTTATTCCTAAAAGGTAAATAGCCTAGATCAACGACAATCATCTTCGTCTTTCTACCTGCTTCTCAAATAACCTCCATTTCACGGGTCGACGAGTGGTGACAGAGTAGTAGTACATACACCACACTTCGACATTGTACTTACCCAAGAAGGGTACCTTACCGTGGCTGTAAAGCCCAAGTCTCGATGGAAACGAGAATAAGAAAATAACATCGTGGTCTCAGGGAACGACGACAACAGGAAGGAAAGCCCTTCGTTGGGTACTGTTTCTGTTTCTGTTTCTGTTTCTGTTTCTGTTTCTGTTGATGCGTTGCTTCGCTCCGTATCTCAGTGTTTTCTTCTTAAGTGGAAATTTCCTACTACCTATGAGGAAGGAACGATCAGGACCGGGTGTCTCCAGTGAAGCCAAAAGGTACCTACCTTAGTTATCTCTACCGACATACTGCAAGGTACCTAACAACAATATTCAAAAGTCTTGGAAGATACTTACCGTCACTGTATGATGTCCTCCGTCGTCCAGCTCGTCTCCCTTGCACAAACTACGTACCAAGAGGGCATTCTCGCTACCAGTTATGTTATCAACTCTGACATAACTCATTAGCAGTTCTTGTAAGCAGACTATCTATCTGGAGTACAAATGCAGGGTCAATCGAAAAAGATCGAATGCATGAAAGACCGTCAAAATGATTCGGAAAGAAAATAGGAATGCACAAATGCAATACAACACACCCACAACCAGACAACCAAGCTTGACACTTCGGTGTCTCCGTAAACAATGAAGTAGTGCTTGGTACTACGTCGATATTATCGTGATTATCTCTCGTTACCTAGGTTACTCTCAGATTGAACGGTTCGAAACGTTGGAAACGGCCCGTCTTGTATCTAAACTCGTAAACTGGTAACCAAACGAATGAATCATAAAGTTGGAAGTCATGTCCCACTCACCTCCTCTTTACTCTCGTATATTACTGTACCGCCTATGGAAGATTGCTCGATACGTATGTAGTCTAGAGATACAACGGTGCATTAGTTATGGATGGTACGCACTGACGTTGGCTCGGTTATTTAGGTATTGTTCGTTTCGCTTCCATCTCGTCTCAACCCGTGTGTGTCTATATGCGTTTTGACTTTCCGTCCCATGTTTCGCCCCGCCGTTCATCCGTCCCGTGTTTATTCTGGAATGTCTCGAACGCCTTAATTTCCTTTCCACTTCCCGCCTTTCCGACTTCCGTCCCTCCTGTCGCAGTTCGGGAAAAAGAAGGTTCGGTTAGAGTACATTTCATGAACCACAATGCATTTCTTCACAGTGAGAAGGACAATGAGAACCTATTCTTGGTTTTGCTGGTTTCAAACTTGGTGATCGTTGCTGTCGCCTGCTAGAATACTATAGCTTTTTATTGATGGGACCAAGTGATGATCCAGGCACGCGAAAGGTGGATGCGTCGTGTAAAATTAAAACCATGCAAGAAAAAAAGGAAACAAAAAAAAAAAAAAAGCAAAACACCGAAACTCCTCGCCAGCCATTGAAATGCTCAATGATACAAAGCCAAATGTCCTCTTGAACGCCTCGCAGTACTATGGCAACTGATGCATTCAAAAAAATAAAAAAGAAATAGGAATAGAAACAGTAATAGAAAATAAGAACAAAGAGGGGTTGGTTTGCTGCTAGGTGGTTCTACCCTTTCTGTCAATCTCTCCTCAAGAACGTTTTGATCTGTATCTTAGAAAGTTTTGTGACGAGATAATTTGTGTTGGTTGTCCTCCTCTTACGTCCGTCGAACCCGCTTCCAGATTCGCTTCATGACCCCCTTCTCCGAGGTGATGCTTGCCTGGTTTTCTAAGCTTTCATTGAGTATTGGCTCCCCGTAAAACATGCTCTTGTTTTCAAATCCGCCCAAAGACATCGACTTGCGGGTATTCCGGTACAAGGGCTTCCCTTGCTGCCATCCGTAGATCTCGTTCTCGTGCGCCCGCAAATCGGGACGTGTCAGAGTCATGCGCAGCGTCATTTCGCGGGAGTTTGCGGGCACCTGAGCATATCCCCCAGCTCCCTCCGAAAACATGCCATATCCGTCTCTCAGAAATGTTGGATCACTCGAAGTAGCACGTTGAGGGTGGGATCTGGTCTCGAATGCTTGGGGTGTTTTGGGCGACTCGGGATCCGCAAGTGATGGCTGATCGCTGTTGAGAGAGACATGCTCGTCGTCGTCATCAGCCAAAAATGTACCCATGGCCCAGGTATCTTCTTCTTTTGGCGTCGACTGAATCTTCTTGCGGGCAGGGCCGAGGGGCATTTCCATGAACTCGGTACGGACCATAGACCCTGCGCCAAGCGCGTCCGTAGACGGAAAGCCAAACTCGATAGCCTCATCGAATTTCTGAGGAGAGGCAAGATAAACGCGTAACTTCAATCGAGCCTCAGGATCTTGATAGTGAGCTGCAGATGGGTCAAATATTGAATCCTGTGGGCTGTGCTTAGGTGTGATGAGCGACAGAGTGCGCGACTTCCGGTGTGTGTGTCCGTCCGCCGAGTTAGCGACACTACTTGCCGAGGTAGGCGCTGATGACCCAGTTGCTAGGGCATTGTGGCTTCCTGGTCTGCTGCTGAGGGTAGGCGTGGACGGTATGCCGAATGGAAGTTTGGATACAGACATTTGCCTGCGGAAAGATGGTCGTTGTTGTTTTGGAGATGGAAGGCCGTCCCTCAAATTGGCATGGTAATCGTCCAGGAAAAGACGCAAGTCCAGATCGTCTTCTTCGTCGAGCCATCGGAAGCTTTCATAAAACGACTGAGGTAATTCTTCACTGATGGGTTGCTCAGAACGGTTCTTGACGCCTTCTCTAGCCTCCAAAGTGTTTTGCTGAGACATATGCGACGGCATGAGGCCCTCCCTATTCACGCTTGGGTGGCCATTGTTCCTTCTGTTCATCTTGTATATAGCCTCGTCTGCTGCGTCCAGAATGACGCTAGCACGGAGACGCCTTGCAAGAGCAAGCTGCTCTTCGCGGGTTAACTCTTGTTGGTGCATGTTGTCAACAGATGCCTGTGGTATTTCGAGAACAGGAGATGGCAGGCTCGATTCCCCTCCTAATGGTCCCCGCCCGTCACGACTGACGATTTGCTCCGAGCGACTTTGCTGTTTGTGACCCTTTTGGCGTTTGTAGTTGGATATCTCGTCGTAGTGTCGTGTGATGCCGTCGATGAGGTAAGACTCCCGAGCAAAGCGCAACCTTTCGAGGGTTGAGAAGTACTGTGAGGTTTTTGTTTTAGCGAGGACTTCAAGAAGAAAAGCGGTTTCAAAGAATAGAATCATAAGATACGTTGATCAAGCCATCTAATATAACGTGTAAGGGTCACCAGCATATGACGGGCAGTTTGGGAGCTTGAGCGGGAGGGACACAACGAAGCCAGTGAGGTGGCATGGATAAGGGCAAGGGGTCCCTGAGCAGCTTTGACTGGCAGGCGTTGGACCCGCATGCAGGAGAGTCAAATGAAGCTGCAAGTGCGCGGAAGTGAGTTGAAATAGGATCCCTGTCCAGGTGCAAGACGTCCGTGTTCACTGAACGATACGAGACGCTGCACCACCTTCTCTGCCGAAAATTGCTCGATCTCAACAAGTGGTTTGAGGTTAGGTTGCCAAAGAGCCTATCCTATGGAGCTCGACAGGTGCGTTGTTCGCTTCAGCAGCCGGAGAAACAGTAAAAAGGTATGCGCCTGGGAAAATACCGTCGTCCATCGAAAGCAGTCTTGTTGGCCAAATCAAAGCCAACCGAGATTTGCCCTTGTTGACAGGCACTCGCTCGTCAACCAATGTGACATGAGAAGCCTCAAGAAGCAGAACCTCAGGTGTCTGAGTGCTTACTGGGGCGCGAGAAGCGCTCAGCGAAGAGCTGGACTATGTCATCTAGGCCTGGTGATATCAACCATTGGCGGAGGACGTTCATTTCATCTGTCTGCCAATTCTACCAGCCTCTTGAGGTAGCTCCAATTCCTTCAACGCCTCGAGGCGCGAGCTCCTCACCTTTTCAGGGGCGCCGTCCCGCCATGTTCCCCAATTAAGGAGCGGCTGTGATGCTCTGACGGTGGTGCGCACCGGTGGGTGTCATCGCCGGACAGAAGCAAAGGCGAGGGGGACTTCCAATTGGACATGACTTGTGTGACATATGCAGGATCTAGCACTTGCTGCAGGAACCAACAGCGAGCGGGAGGGGGTAGGTGAGAGAGGGGTGATGCCCAGAGAGGGTAAAAGAAAACACACAAAAAAAAAAGGCAATCGAACAGAGAGAGAATTTGGCTCAAACACCAATGAACATCAAGTCCCCGTGCCGGCATCAGATATAGAGTTTGGGGATTCTCTAGAAATTTCGGGTACACACCTTGCGCTGTATTGCCAATGGCAGAGCCTCAAACTCTTCCCGGGTCATCTGTGGAACCGCATTGGCCTGACTTTGTCGTGTCCCAATGCTGCTAGATCTGGAATGGGTAAATCGCTTGTGTGTCGTCGGCTTGGTGTCTGCGAAACCATGTCCTGCATACTCGAGCGGCTGCTGCGGCTTGCCGTTATGGTCCATGTGCTGATGATGATGTAGTTTTGTCCACAGAGAGAAGAAGGGACTGGGAAGTCGGGCCATCTGCTCGCTGTGAGCCGAATGCGGCCGGCGTGACCGCTGTTGAGCGATGGTTTTGGCAGCATAGTTAGACCGGCCAGAGGGCGCGGCCCCATCAGCCGAAGCCACATCTGTAGGGTCAGGCATTATGGGACCGTGTTGGATGCTCGAGAAGCTGCTGCTGGAATTATCGAAATAATGGTGAAATGCGCAAGGTTCGGAGGCGAGACTTTTTGTCGAAGCTGGGGGAGAAAGGTAAAATGAGCGGTAGACAGGACTCCTTGGAAGATTGACGTCGACGTGAAATGGACTGAACTTGTCTAAGCCCAAGTCGGGCTGATGATGGCGCTCGCTGTTGCCGCTATGGAAATATGAACAGTCGTCGAGGAAAGTGCCAATGTTGGTGCTTTGGTCGTGCGTTGTGTTTGTTGGGAAAAACCTGAAGGGAAGGTGGAAAGCAAAATCTCGCGGGCTCCTGTTGTCTATCGACAGAGGTGTCTGGGGAACGTACGTCCATGGTTCAACAAGGGGTTCATCGTCTAGCTGATCTAGGCGCTGGCGAGCATGGTGATCTGGCAGAGTCGGTGTCGCTGCCCCAGCGAACGGGGTTGGTGGACAGCTAGAACACCATGCCGGACACCCTCCCGGACCAGGAGACAGGGGCATGGAGAAGCTGCGGTCGGCCGACATGTCATCGAGGTCCAGCAGGGCGTCAAGGGCACCAATGCCATTCGCAGGCACGTGTGGCACATTTTGCTGGCTCTCCGGCACCACGAAGGCGGCCGCGGAACTAGCGCCTTGAGACTCCCGCCCAACTGCGAGGCTGCCCATCTCGCTACCGCGCTACCACTCAGCCGACTCGGTCACGTCGCGAGCGCAGCAACCACCGCCAATTGAGCCTGAACAGCGGAGGACCAAGGCGGTGATTTAGTGTGATGGGGATTTTGACGGCGGCACCTGATGAGACGTTGAACTGTTCCCCAACTCTTCTCTCCACGTCCCGTTGTTGTTCCTACAGGGTCCAGGTCCCTATTTCCCGACCTTTTTACACTAGCTCTCCCACAGCTCTCCTGGCTCTCTTGGCTATTCTGTTCCCAGTTTTAAGATCAAGGTGGGGCTGCCAGGCCAAGTGGAAGCGAAACCGCAAACGGCAATCTCAGAATAGAAGACAAGCAGGAACCTCGAGATGAAGTGGCCGTTGCTAAATTTCTGGGTCGGCCGATGTGACTGTCGGCTTGTCCCCGGATCAGATAGCGCACGTGGACTCCGCGGGAACTGAATGAAAAGATTAAAAAAAGGTACGAAAACAGACACCCTCCAGCGAGTCCACGTACGGGGTAATGAGCGATCAGCCCAATTTGCGATGGTTCCGCTGATGTTTCAGTTCTGTCTGTTTAAAAAGAGACGTTGTCGCCGTTGATCGTTGGAGATAGCGGCGAGGATGACAAGTTGATATTTTCTGTTCGCAAGGGAAAATCGGTGCCTCAACAGGAGGGGTTCCCTTCCAGTGCTTGAATTGACCGCTGAGCTGCTGCTTCAGTTGTGACAGATGCAGGTGAAGCCCCCCTCTGACGCCGCAGTGGATGTCGGATAGAGGTAGCGAATTGGATCGATGTGATGCGGGCGTCGTGCAGTGGCAGGCAGATCCCGTCGTTTGCTTGTGGAGGACTGGCAATAGGGTACCTAGTGGGGAAATGGAGATCGCTTCAGGCTTTTGCTCGTTATTTGTTAATGAAGCAATATCGCACATGGCATCTACCATCCAAGAACCACCACGGTACCGAGGCCGCTATCATGTGATGGACGTGATAAGAGGCAATTGCCGTCGATGATCGTTTCCTTCTTCAAGGGTCTTGTCGATATTGATCTGGAGTCAGGTTCTTGTCGAGGTCTCGGCCGTCCGCTTAGCTCGGTTGCAACAGACTTGTGATGGCGGGAGTGGGTCTAGGATGATATACTGCGTAGAAGGAAGACGAAGAGATAGGTAGGTAATCTGTGAAAAGAAAGAACAAAGACTTTGAATTTATTCTGCGGTGAGAGTTGAACTGGCTCGTCTTTAATTCACCCTTTCTCTTTTGTCTGTACGTCTCCTCCTTTCCAAACTCCCCTCGTGTTCGAAACCGATGGGGGCCTGGGTTGTAGTAAGCTAAGGGGGTCTCTTGAGGGGTTCTCACTACGTAAGTACCGAACGGGGATTCGGGATCTGTGACCGGAAACATCTAACAAACAGAGATGGATAATTATTTGCAGGTGGGCTGCGCACCTGCTTGCTGTATCAAGTGCTGGCTGTATGTCGGTAGCCGAGCAATCAAGGATTCGAGACAATTGAGATAATTGGTTGAAAGGGACTGGACTGAGAGAACGTGGACAATCCAACGCAGATACTTATCGTCTTCGACCTTCGAATCTTGCTCTTTCACGAAAGCTGCAAGACAGACTATGCCAGGTGCTCTGGACTTGATAGTACACTCCGCATCACGATCCAGGTCGTCAATGTGTCTTCTCCTCACGTTCTTCACCGTCTTCGCGCCTGACATACGGCCTGAATCAACACAAGGGCGACGCCCCAAAGTTTGTCCCTGAAACATGCTACTTCTTCCACTTCAATTGACGTACGACAGAGGCCAGTGGACAAACACGGTTAAACAACGCTCACTACAAGACGCAGACACTGTGGCCTCTGCTATCCCTCCTCCAGCGGCTCCTCGCGATTCCAGGAACCAGTAATTTGGGTCCGTCCCGTCCTCCGTCTCGCGGCTGGGAGAAGTTTGACGAGGTGGCACCGTCGCTGCCGATTTGACATCCCACTCCGTTCCCGTTCGGTGGTTCCCGCAATTGGGTCTCACATTTTGCTCTAGTGTGCGATCTCGGGGTGCCGCTGACAGATCGGCGGCTGCAAAATACGGGTTCAGCAAACCAGGCGGGCAAACCCAGGCTTTCCGGGCTCTGACATCTTTATCTCAGACAGGTCGCTTGGAGGTGTTGCAGTTGTTGCGGCTTCCCTTCCCCTGATTTTCTTCTCGCCGTTTCCGTTGGGTGGTGCACAGATCAGGGTCCCTAGCAACCGCCGTGAAGCGAGCCCTCGAGGAGTCAGGGGAGCTACGAGGCCGATTCGGGAACACGCAGTAACTCAACACCCAGAACAAATGAAGGGGTAGTACGGAACGACAGAGCCAAAGACGAATCCGTGGGGTTCGATAAGGGACGGAGGATAGGCAGGAAAGTCAAAAGGTCAAGACTCGAGAACCACATCGTCGGGTTATTCGGGCCCAGTGTAATCGAGCCTTTCGATCAGGATGGCCTATCAGACCAGTGTGCTTAGGTCTGGCGACTTTAGACTGAGATGTATATGGCATGCTCCTTCCATCTTCCAGCGCTACGGCATCCCTTTGGTTTTCGAATGGCTATCGCTGTTGCGTCGTCTCATGAGATCCGGTACCTACACCGTCTTCGGAAACCAAAGCACCATATCGGATACACTGGCTTGCCCATATCCCGGGCCTTTGCAGACTCGGCTGGCGGCCACAATAGTTAGACGAAGCGTGTGAGAGCATCCCCTTGAACAGAGTAGCGAACTTCGGCTTCAGGGGCGCACCAATGCATCGTCCGGAATGTAGATCAAGCAACAACGCTCCTGCTTTGGTCGTACTACAACCGGTTCAGTCACCATCACCACCCCATGCAATTGAGGGTCCATGTTGACAACCTATATGTTTTTCAGCTTCACACAGCAACAGAGCGGTTGGATGTGATATAATGCTTTTGCAATGTCAGCTCCATATCGAAGAGTTCTCCTCCAACAGACCAGACATGAGCATTAGCGTATGTCGCCGCTTTTGCAGCTCCCGCCAGGGCATATGTCTTGAAACGGCCGAATATGACTGAAGGATCCAATCTTGAAGAACAACTTCCACTGGAGTGGTCCACGTATAAAGACAGCTTTGAATCAGAACGCCGAGGCACAATCATCTTCTTGTTTGCTATTTGACAAGGATATAAAATCTCCACTGACTAGTGGTGGGCAGCCTGACGAGTGTTGCCGATGAATACAAACATTGGGCTGCACTACCGTCGAGCAATCATGAATCATACCAGCTTGAATAGACTTGCCGGCCGAAAGCCGATGGTCATCAATCACAATCGATCTACCTACCCCGAAATACCGAGGGAAGCCTTCACGAAAAGAAGAAAACGCTTACTGGCATGACTGAAAGAACAGTCATCATGCAAACATTTGTAAGGCGCATTTTATTTCGTTTCAGAAGCAATGGGCCACAGTTTGGTGATCGGGGTCAAGGCAAAGAAAGCTCAAGCTGAACTGGAACGCCACGCGGCATTGGACTAACGGGTCGTTGAGTTTAGAATGACAAGAAGTTCACCTTGTCAGGACACAACTCAGGTCCGTGAGCATTATTCACAGTGTACGTTGCTATTTCGCTCGCATTGACACTTGTCGAATTACAAAGTCGATTCCACGAGCAGTTAACTACCTAGATGTGATGATATCTGAAAACGCACAATATCATCCAGTCACCGCCCAAACCGATGAATTTCTCCCTTGGCTCATGAGGCTTCGACGCAAAAAGATACCCTTCATTACCTTGTTACCTAGTCTCATCGAGCTACAATGGGCTCGCTTACCTGCAGGTTGAACTTCCAACTTGCAAGATCAGGCAACCTGATTACGCCATCTAGTTGGAGCTAGATTCCAATACCTTACGCCATATACCCCCTGGAGTATGACCAGTCACCGTCCGTTATATTGAGGGTTTGTATACCCCTCGCGAGGCTTCCGGGAGCATGTCAATCGGGTCATAGTACTCATAGACCTTGTCGGCTTTGTCCCGGCCCGTGACGGTGGGGGCCACAAAGGTTGACACGCCCGTGTCACGGTCGTAGCTCTGATAGGAGCACGCAAGCCGCTTCCCCCCTCCACCAGGAAGGTCGACGACAAAAGAGGGAGTCATGAAACCTGCAATTGACCCGCGGATCCTGGCCTCTAGGTCCAGAATGGTTTGCAAGGGCGTGCGAAGGTGCTCCACTTTCTCAACCAAATCGCACTGGTAAACGTAGTACTGACGTTGACGTTAGAATCTGGCACTCACGAAATGTTGGTTGCAGAGGTGACTTACAGGTATAATATTGTTGTCGGCTAGCTGGCGGATGAGGGTTGACATGGTCTCGTAGTCATCGTTGACGCCGCGAAGCAAGACGGTCTGATTACGGACCATGACACCATTCTCAAAGAGCTTCTGAGAGGCGTCCGAGCTAATCCACGAGATCTCGTTGGGGCTGTTGAAGTGAGTGTGCAACGCCATCGACTTTCCAGCCTTCTTGGCTTTGTTGGAGATATCAATGAGGGCATTCACCCAGCCATCAGACTCATCCAGAATTCGAGTCGGAGCTACAGCTAGTCCCTTGGAAGCAAAGCGAAACCGCTTTATGTTGGGTAGGCTAATCAAGCGCTCGCCGATAAGAGTCAGCTGCTCCGGCTGGAGGTAGTATGAGTCACCGCCAGACACTACAATATCCTGGAGTTCCGGTCGGCTCTGAATGTAGGCAAAAGCCTCCTCCCAACGTCTGCGGGTCGGCTTCAGGGATGCCTTCGTTACGGTATTTGTATCGGCTCCAACCGCGTAAGAGCGGGTGCAAAACATGCAATATGTGGGACAAACCGAAGTCGCTGTCCAAATCCACCATCAGAATGGGCGTTATCGGCGGGGGCGGCACGACGCAAGGGAGGACCTACGCAGAAACAGTGCTTTGTCTGTGTACCGATGTACTAGACCCTTGACGGGCGAGTCGGCAGTCTCATGGAGCGAGTCAAGTGTGAGCTTCGGATGGTCGGGAAGCATGATCGACTTCATTGGCAAGAACTGCCGGGCGATGGGGTCATGGCGAGGATCTAGCCAGTTGATGCGACTCAGGATGTATGGTCTGCCATACGCATGGTTAGCTTGATACGAAGAAGAGATTCGTGATAAGCAAGGGCTACACTAGTGCTCACGTCATTCGGATTGCCATCGTTGCAGCAGCCACGCCATCGAGGACGTCTTTGATGAATTCGTCACGGGACTGCATCTGCATGCCGAGCTTGTCCACAGGCACCTCTTCTGGGACGACGGCTTGCAAGAACTTGAAGAGCTTGACTGTGCCCTGTACGGTATTGGCGACCTGCCAATTCATGGAGGTTAGCAGGACGATATCCCAAACCGATGAATGCAACGAAGAATCGTGGGTAGCTAGCACTTGTAGCTGGGACAGGGCATATCACATCTCACTTACACTCCAGCGATACGACAGGAAGTCCTTGGCTGTCACATCTGCCCAATAAGGCACTTTGCGCCAAAACTCATCGCGGCCACTCTGAATTTCAAAAGAGACAGGATTTGCGAGAACGTTCTCGAGTTTGGCGGCACCGGGGGAATCATACGGCGGGGGGCCGATCGGTCCGACAACAGATGGCTCGCTCTGGACGTTGGGGTTGCCGATATAGGCCGGGACAGAACAGCCAGCCGTGTCGATGCCTTTGCTGATATCGGCTACCTGGGCTTGAAGACGTAGAGAGGAGCCGGTCCTTCGCGATGAGAGGGGGTTGGGTTGAAATACTGGGCCACGAATGACCCGGTTGGGTCGAATGATTCTGGACAGCATTGTGTATTGGATTATGATTGGCAAAGCGAGGAGGTGAGGGTTGCGTTGAACTTGCTTGGTTGAAAACACCAAGCAGAAGTGGTCCCCGTGCTGAAGAGCCTATACTCGAAAGTTGAAATTGGATTGCTGGAGGCGGTGGACACTCTGCTTTTATGTTCGAGGAAAAATGAAGAGGATGGCCACGAGGTACATGGTGACTGCTCCTGGATTTGAGGATTTCTAGGTTACCTTCAAGATTCTTCCTCGAACTTGATGAAGTAAATGGGCAGGGGTGCGAAAGTTGATGATCCCGTACTTCCATTCACTCTCGATCAGCCACTTCCAGTTTGTCATCTACTACCAACAAAGCCCTGCCACCTTGCGGCAAAGTCAGGTTTGAGATCAGGAGATTGGAATTCGTCTCAGTCCCAGGCTGTACTGAAAATTTCCTGGCTCAAGTTTACGAATCACGAGGGAGACCGGTCAACAATCTCTTGACCCTCTAAGTCAAGACTATCCACGTGTGTCCCTAGGCCCACCACCCAGTCAGCTACATGTAGAGGCGTCTGGTGGTATCAAGGATTCATTCTGGTGTCTTGTTCTGAGCCACGAAGAGGTTATCAACTCCGTGCGAGAGGTGGGGAGGCCAAAATATTCGTGCTTCTGCAACAAAGATCAAGAATCTGCGTTTTATCCTTGACTAATCCTCGAACGCGCCCGAAGTGCCGGTAACCTGTCACTCGCTTACATTTGATGTTTGCCGATTTTCCGGGGGGTGCTTTGTACCCTGACGGGGAAATTCAGGTAAGTGTTCATACAGTCAAACATGGTGGCTTAATACAGACATCAAGTACTTTAAGAATTCCATAAGACCACCATCATCGCCATCATGTCCTATCATCTCGGGGCCTTGGTCAGAACGCAATCAACCTCACTGGAATAGCGCGGAACAAGGACTGTCAAAAACTGCCGACGAAACTCAATATTGAGTGCCAGATTGGTATGTTGACTCAGGTAAACTTCTATCTTCGTTTCTTCCGACTTTCCTTTCTTCCAAGCGTTAGCGTGGGCGTAACCCAGGCAATGGCTGCTCTTACCTCTATTCTATGTCTCCCGACTGCCCCTTGTTCAGCAAGTGTTCCCGGAAAGCAGATACTGACCGGGCAAGCGACTCCCGCCCTTAAGTGTACGGCCTGCTGCAAAGATTTCAGAAGACAATACTCGACAAAACAGCACAAACGACACGGCTTCATCTCGACATCAGCAAACGGGGCATCCAGTGAAGAGTCTTTATACTCCTACAGCAATGTTGGGCTTCGACTGGTCCTCCCAGAAGGGTGCAACCTCTGAGGTTGATGCCCGATATGACTTCAATTCAGAGTGAGTAAGACTTTGGCGTTGTCTCTGTCAAGATCCCACATCTTTGAGAAAAAAACGTCTAATTGAAATGTGATATCTGACCACATCCTCGGCAACTCGATTCAGACTACCTACCCCGGACATCTTGGCTCCCCGTGGCGCAGTACCAACGATCGCGAACCAAGAACCGGGTCCCTGGATCCCGAGCACTCAAGACGGAAGCACCCATGCAAGCAGTCAAGCGAACGAGGAAAAGACCGTCGCCAACATCGACCATGGCTGGAGACCCTGGCTCGTCGTGATCGGGTGTTTTTGCCTGATTGTTCCCTCCTACGGGCTACTCAGCAGCATCGGGCTCTTTCAGACCGAATGGGAGCAACATCAGCTTCGCGGATACTCAAAGAGCGACATTTCATGGATCATCTCTGTCTTTGGTTTTCTCGACTGTTTCTTTGCCGCACCATGCGGGATCCTGTTCGATCGCTTTGGGCCACGTTCACTCTTACTGGTAGGCAGTACGATCTACGTTGCTTCCTTCATTGGCTTGGCTTTCTCAACCACTTATGGTCAGTTCATGGCCTGCTTCGTAGTGGCGGGCATATCATGCGGTATGTACTCTTCTTCTGAAATTTCGGGGGTTTGACCACCTGCTGCTTCTTCATAATGCCCGCTAACGCCCTCCGATTCGACAGCTGCCCCCACGACGGTAGGGTTCACTGTGGTCAGCCAGTGGTTCAAGATACGAGAAGGTCTTGCCACAGGGTGTGTCACAGTCGGCTCTGCGGTTGGAGGAATCTTTTTCTCCCTTGTCCTCCAAGAGCTCTTCAATAGATATGAGTGGAGGACAGGCGTTCTCATTCTTGCCGGCATCATAATGGTCTTCATGATCATTGGGAATTTTCTTGTTGAGCGGAACGAGTCACAACCAACCGGCGCAAAGACTGAAGACAGTTGGGACTTTACGGCGATCAGGGATATGATTATATCCCCGAAATTCTGGCTAGTTTGCTTCAGCATTTTTGGTAGGTCCCCCATTCTGATACCTAGTAGACTAGACACCCCAACCAAGATCACATAGCTTGGCGTGTCTCTCGTTCTCTTAACCGAGAGTCATACCATAACTAACGAAACAACGATCATTGTCGCGCAGCATATGAAATGGTTTTGTTCAGCCAGTGGGGATCGATTCCCTCATACGCCGTCTCTACTAACTTTGGCGACAAACAGTTCTACCTCATGACGACTTACAACTTGTAAGTGCTGCATTCCGATTGGTCGAAGTCTCCCTTGCCGCTAATATCATGGAAAAGTACTGTGGCTAACCTGAGAACGGCTGCTTGACCCAAACCAACAGCGGTGCTATTGTGGGGAGAACGCTACCTTCGTGGCTGTCCGATCGAAAGCTAGGCCCAGTGAACACTATCATAATCATGAACGTCTTTACGTTGCTCGTGGTCCTGGTCGTTTGGTTGCCCTTTGGGGCAATGGCAGTTTCAGCCTTGTTTGTCGTCACTGTGCTGATGGGAGTTGGCACTGGAAGCTTTGTGCCTCTTGGCGGTAAGTCCAGTGCACACGTTCTGCGATGCATAGTACTTTTTGGTTTTATGGTGGTAGCTTACAGACAGTCATCTTTTTCTCTTTAACAGTGCAATGCGTTAGTGGTCTTTGTACCTCCAGAACAATCGGCACCTGGCTCGGTTTCGTATACACCTTTTCCAGCTTTGCAACACTGCTGGGAAACCCCGCCACAGAAGCTATACTCTCGCGACAAGGGCCCAAGGCCCTCATGGCCTTCCTTGCAGGAGCCTTGGTCTTCGGACTGGCCTGCATGGTTAGCCTGAGATTCGTGATGCACGGAGGCAAATGGATCTTGGTACGGAAGATCTGAAAACGGAAATCTGTAATATCTGATATGTAATGTATCAAAAAGATCTTTCTTTTCTTCTTTGTGTTCCTTGCTTGAGAGAGAGGAGGGAAAACGAAGGAAACAAAAGTTATCTAGGCGGCCATTGTGATTCAGCTTGGCAGGCAGATCAGATGCCGTGTATTAGGTGTAGGTGTACTGCTGACGCCCGCATGGCCAGGGACCGTTATTTTGCCCATATTTTGTTCGAATTTGGTTGAAGGTCACGTTTGTATATAGGCTAGAAGTTGTAGGCTGGACGACGGAGCCTTGATCTCAAAGAGCTTTCGCGTTTTCGTCAGAGATTGGAGCGATAAGGGGGAGAGTGTGACACCTGACTCTGACCTTTCTATCATATTGGTACTCAGTACTCGAGAATCGGTCAGTGATCACTCACCACCAGCCACCAGCCACCAGCTCCTAGTCAGGCTGACAAGTCACCTCGACGAGGTTGAGGACATCACGTCGGGATATAGTTGAATAGAATTGTAAGGGCTATATGACAGTGACAAGCGCACTGTATCGGCACTTGGGAGAGTACAAGTAACTCAATATCGAAATCCTTGCCATTGCCACCTATTCCGAGATCCTGGTTGGCGGATTGGCAGGCTCAGTGAGGTTGGTTTGTAGTATGTGGCTTCTTCGGCTTGCCCTAGAGCTTTGTGCCTTTGTGCTTGTGCTTGGTGTGAACTCTAGAGAGAGTTGAAGTGAATGCAGTGTGATAGTGTTCCCCCCCACTCTCCGGTCTGGGCGGACCATGAGCCCGGAGGCGGTTCGTTCGACTCACCCAAGTTGGGGGATCTTATACAGTAAAAGCTAAGTGGTCTCCCGAGGACTTACACGGCGAACAGTGCGATCCTGTAGTATATGCCGCTGTGTTTTAGGATCTGGAGAGTCTCGGGCATCACGTACAGTGAATCTGACATATCACTTCCACGTGCTTGTGCTAATCTTTGCTTCTTGATTTCGAAATGCCCGACATTTTTTGGGGTTGTCACGAGGATCGTGACTTTTATTCTTGATCTTGAGCTTGATATGATAGCTGGGATTCTCTGCTCGGCGGTCGCCTTTACTTTTTAGTCTTGTTGTTCTTTTTCGTCATGTTCCCCCTGTTCATGGTTATGATTCATCGATGATGCCCCTGTTAATGGCCCTGGCTATGAGGAGTGCTAGGTTTCCGATTCGATTCGATCGATACCGATGCAGTACACCGGGAAACATCGTTGGCGCCGAAATGCTCCCCCAGCGCAAAATTTCGCACGTTCGAGACCGGATCGATTCCACGACATAGCCAGGTTGTAATAGATGAATGACAGGGAAAACCGAGGTCGATTATAATACCATTTCGGCCCGGAATAATTCTACACCGGTAAGACATTCACATGGACGAAGAATCCAACAATATGGAATAGCGGAAGCCGGGTGAAGAGGTTCAAGAGCGACGGAAACGAAAGAAATGAAATGGAAACTCAAACCGGAAGCCGAAGACCATCGGAATGGGCTTGACGACATCGTGCCTTCGTTGGCGGGATTGACAATGGCTGTGCCTCCCCTTACAAGCTGCTGCGGGTTTGCTCGCTACATGTCCCTTCCAGCTCGCTTTGCGGTTAGGTGAGTGTGAAATACTGACCATTTATAGGTGGTGTCCTGTTTTTTTCTGTTTTCAGCCCTTCATCTTCTTCGCAGCCTAGTTGGGGTTTTCATCGACCCTTTATCCTCCATGTAATGAGAACCCCCACACCCGCATGGGTATTCGAGGGGGAAAGGAAAGTCCAAGTCGTCGATGGTAATGCAGATGGAAAATCGCGGCAAATCGCGAGTGCTAGGGTGAGTGGGAAAGCGCCATCCTCTAGGAGAAATCGATGGTGAATTGCTACTCTACGCCGGGGTTTTGAGGCTATTCCCGTTGGGGACGCAGGATCTAGGCTGCGCAAGACTTACTGACACTGTACCACTGACTGTCCTGGATGATGTGATTACACCGATACGAGGAATTGAGGGTATAGGGTGTAGGCGCATGCCCAGATATATGTAAATATCACCCCGGGCAGTGTTCAAGATACCCTGGACCACTGGTCAAAAGATCAGTGACGAACATACCTATTTTGTGCTAGAAGTGTGTCTTGAACACGGCAGTCGACTCTTGATTCCCTTTCACCCCTCAGCACGATCTACAGCCCCTTTTCGGGTCCTGACAGCAATAACAGCTTGACAGGCGCCAAATAGACATTGCTGGCACGGAATCCTCCAAACCAACAACACAAAAAGAGATGGTAGCACAACATCGATGACTTGCCTGTTGTATCACAGTCATGGCAAGTGCGCAATCTTTGAAAGATACCTCTATGATAGAGGGAATATGAGATGAAATAGGGCGGCACGGAAGCCTCTCCGCGTCGGTGGAATGTGATTATGACTGAACCTCCAGCGGCATAGATAGCAAATTCAATCCCAAATGGATATAATGACAACTTAGTACAAGTCCAGGTGGCCTCCTCCAAGTTTAGCCTCCTTTCTCTTGTGTTCAATGCCCACCACCCCATTCAACTTCTTGCCTCCGCTGTACTTCATTCTGGGGATTTCTCCACACCGATCTGGCCCCCACTGTTACCCCCTTCTGCTCGAGTTCGCCCGACGTATTTCGGCCATAGTATTCTTCCACAAGTCAAGAGATATCGCAACCTCACGATGAACAGGTCACCGGCCAAACGTTTACTGCATAGTATCAACTCGACGACTTAGTGGATGAACCTCCCCCCTTGCCGTTTTATTCTTTTCCCCACGTCTTCACTGCTACGTACCCCCCGTGCTTCGTTGAAGATTATGGGAACATTGAGGTATGGTGCTTCAAGGTCCTTGTAAATGTGCGAGAGGATCTTAGACGGCATGCACCACTTGTCAGCTTAAAATGGGAGATTTCCCCCCAGGGTAACTGGGCCATCACAACATCCCACCTCGTTGGGTACTGTACCATCACATGGTATAATAGCCCGGGACTGAATGCTTCCTAGTCAAGACGTTCGGGAGATAGACCAGGGAGACGAGTTTATGAGCCAAGCGAGTGCTGCGGTGTCACTTATACTGTCTTTGCTCGTGTCAACTGAACACCTTAGCTGAACAAGATTTTCCCCTCTAATACAATCGCAAGAGATGCCCTCTGTGGTATCGCAGACAGTCGTTTTTTGTTGGTCAGTCTATGCCAAGCACCCGAGAACCTTGAGGCATTGTACCCGCAAATCTCTGAAGGCATCATCATGTGCCCATGTATCAAGGACGACATGTCCTCCATGTCGCAGAGATGTCGATAATGTCAGTTGCCCCAATACCAGTAATCACGCTCAAACACAGAAAGCATGTTGCAAACACCTCAAAAGAAAAAAAAAAAAACGTCAATAGACTCCAGGCGCCGCTTGTGGCCCCAATAATGCCCCAAAACGCCACAGACAAAGGTTTTACGCACCCCAAGCAAATCATGACAGAAATACCAACCCCGTTGAGTCTCATTCGGACGAGACATCTCCTCGAAAGCTCTTGAGCATGTTACCGCCATACTCCTGCGTGCAATACAACAAGGGGCTCGATCATACTGCCGCCCACGCGCTGCTACGGGGCAAACATGATCCTTCGAAAACCGCCACAGAGAATCTGAAACGGCCCTCGATACAGGTGGCTTTCAGCATTGCCCAGAAGACTTGCTTCTTGACCGGGCCAGAGGCTTCATCAGCCGACCATAACTGTTGATGTTAACCCAGGGCATACTCTTACTCGTGGCTTCACTAGGACTCTGCTGAGCGAGTACCTCGTAGTAGTTGAGCAAATCCAAACCCTTTGTTTGGGGATAACCTTCTTGCATCTTGCAAGTCCCTTATGCTTGCAGACACCTGGAAAGGAAGAAACTGGTTAATAACAAAACAGCACAACCGCGCCGGTAAGACGTGGAAACTCACCCAAGGAAATCTCCGTTGATGCTGCCAATGGCATACATCTCACCCAATTCCGTTCTCAGGCCACCGATCTTGACGCGCACATGCGTACCGGGCTCAATGACCATATCAGCGTTATTGGTAAACTGAGGAGGCGTCGCGTTGGGGTCGAAGTGGATTTCTTCGGGCATCAGCTATAGTCCTCTTGTCAGCGATCGAAGTTCGAGGGCATCCTATGTGCATATTTGAAAGGATCGTAGGCGTCATCGTACGTGAGATGAAACGAAGATGGAGAGCGGGCCAGCTTGGCAGAAGAAGCCGTGAGGATTGATGGAAAAGACAATAGCATCCACCTGTAGGGACTCCTCGTTAGACAATCCGAACGAAGAGAACACCACCGAGAGTCTTCGCTATAACGAACCACTTCGCCTTTGAACGGCCTCCAAACCACAGCACGGTACTTCACAGTGAACTCGGCCAGGCCGTTTCCGGGGAGGATGCGACCCTCGCTAACGTCGAACGCATCCATGATGGCAATGATGTAGTAATCACCGGCACACGTCCCTTCCACGTCCTTGACCAATTTGGTCGTGACAAGTTCGTGCATGTTCCTGCCGAAATAGGATGGATGCAGGGTAACCCGCCGCTCGAGGTTATGGAGGAAGAACATTGTGGCGGTTTAGTACTGTAGGATCGGGGTGTCGTCGGCTGAAGGTGGACGTCGATAAGTCGATGCCCTGGAGAGGTTATGCGCCTCGGGATGCCTTCGCGCGGCTCTCGTGTCGAGGGGTGCGACGGCGGCGGCAGTGCTGTCGAGACTTGGGCAATTGGAGTCGCGTGTCGGGACGAAAGTGACAGTGAGGGCGAGATGCGAAAATCGACAGCAAGAATGCTGGTGTAGTGATCGTGTCGAAGGTGATAGCTGGTTTTGTGGGGATACGTCGTGACGGGAGAGCAAGGCTGACGGAATAGATATCGATTATGTATGATGGAACAAAAGCTTGGAGGTTCTGGAAGCGGTAGCCTCCAACATAGAGACCGCCGCAGACGCGGTTTCGGGACTTTCGTTGCCTTGCGAGCTTGGCCTGTCACTCGTCCCTTGACGTTTAGCACATGGCTCGTGCACAATCTGCAAGGAACAGCACTGACCACACGGAAGCGGTCTTGGCGCTGCCGGGATTCGGTGTTGTCCACAACTTCAACACCAAATACAGTAATGTGCCCTGTTAATGCAACTAATGCAGGCAGCCAGATTTCTTTGCAAAAGGGGGGCATTTGCAAAGGATGGTACTGGTGCACAGACCAGTATATACTGTGGGGCTACTGGATTACGGGTCGACCACCCTAAAGTTGGGTTACTTCGACCCTCTCGTACTGCCGCTATTCGGGGCAGCTAAAGTCACAGTATGCCCAAATAGAGTTACGGACTCTAACCTAAAGGGGAACGTCCCCACATAAGGTCGCCAAATATTAGCAAATATCAACTGCACCCAAAATTAGCAGTGGGCAATATAATTGCTCATCGCTAACAAATCCGTAAGATTAAATACGTACTTTACAGCACAGATCTCATCACCAGTACCATCACCGCCATCATATTTTAATATTTATTATTATTCAAAATACCCCGCTCAATCTACTCTATTAATAAATCCAAATTTACAACTAGCGTAATTAATTTTATTAATAATATTAGCGAGTCCCCTACCACCGCTATTATAACTTAGATCTCTAGTAATAAAAATAACGGCGAGACTCCCTTATAACTATACTACCTTTACTAATAATAATAGTATAACTTTAAAACCCTCTTTCATAATATTAATATTACCGTTAAGAAAGAGGGTTTCTATATCTCCAAAATTCGTAATAGTAATAAAGATACCGCCAATAATCCTATACAATACAATTTCGAATACATAAAGAGTAAAAATATATACGCCGATTATAAATTTAAAGGTATCCGGCTATATTTAAAAAGTTCGAAGAAGGGTTATAAATTCAAAATAAAAGCCGTAATATATAAAAAGCTCGGTAATATCTGGAAATTCGTCTATAATTAGTACTAATACAATTATAATTTTAATTTAAATACCGTAAGGTATATACCTAGGTATTGCCAATTTACCTATACTTCTAATATAATTAAAAGTATATTTAAATATAGGAAATAACCTAAAAATACGTCTAGAAATATCGCTACCGTTTTATAAATTAATTTCCTAAAAATAAAGATCAAAAATCAAAATATATTAAATATATTAATTACCGCTAAGGCCAATAAAATTAATACCCTTACGCCTATTTAATAATTCTTATACTCTTTATAATTAGACCCTATAATATTTATTAAATTCTATTATTAAAGAGAAGGAGAAGAGTTTAGCGCGTCCAATAATAATAATAGGGATAAGGGAAATAAGGATATTAAAAAGCCATTCGTATATAATAATAATTATTTAATCGATCGTATATTTTAAACGTATAATTAATACGTAGATTAATAAAGGAAGAACCTAAAAATATAGTCTTTAAACTATATTTATAAAATAAATCGGTTCAATATATTACTTTTATAAATTTATAGTATTACAGCTATATATACAACTTTCAATATTAAATATTACTTATTAAATAGAGAATGTGAAGGCACGTAACGGGCGAGGCAGGGCTACAGCGTTATTGACGTTCAATATAGAATTTACGACTAAAGAGTAAAATAAAAAGTAAGAATTGTGTGGGCAACTAGGCTGGAAGATATGCCTCTAGAACCGATACGCCCAGACCACTCTTTTTATCTAATTTACAACTAATTAAATTACTCGCATCGCAGCGATCGTACAGAACAGCCATTGTCTAGGTCCGGGCATAGACCAGCGGATCTGGGCCATAATATTACCCCCCCCTCTACTAAGGATTTTGCCCTCAAAATCGAAAAAAAATTTTTAATTCTAATATAGTTCGAACCTATAGTCTTCTCCTTACAATTGCTTCCCAAGTAGAGGAGGGGTACCTTCGGGGTAGCCTATAATACAATTTAAGAGCCCTCACTCCCGCTACTACGCTATTAAACTAATCCTATAAATTACTATTATTTATATTAATATAATAGGTTCTTATAAATCCAATCTAAACCATCCTTCCTATTACCTACGCAAATAATTTAACTTTTTCAACGGTCTTCCCTACGCTCCTTCTACTAGTAAATTATCTTCTTTATAATCTATTAATACCAAATCCTTTATTTGAATGCCTTTCCAAATATATAAGCGACGTAGTAGGCCGGGCTTCTCCGGATTCGCGTTGTAGAAGGCTTTAAACACATCGGGTATATTCTTAAAATCTCCGGCGGGGTACTAAGTAGGATCCGGGTCCCAACCTTTCTACTCCGTTTAGTAATAGAATTTCCCGTTAATTAACTATACTATTATAATCCTCTTAACCTTCTATTCTTCTTAATCTCTAATTATTTCTCCCGCAGAATTCTTGTTTATTTAACCTAGTAGGGGGTTATCCGGATATTTATAGAATCAATTGGCATAGTATATCTTAGCACCTCGCTATATAAGTAAAAAGTCTAATTTGTAGGAAAATCCGGATAAAGCCTTAATATAATATAGTACGTGTATAAGGGGGAAGTCGAACTTATTATTAGGTTGGTCGATTACCTAAAATTTCTTAATAATAAAAATACGGTCTTCTATTCTAAAATCGGGTTTACAACGGTACTTATTTATTTATATAGCCTACTTTTCTTGTTTCCTAATTATAATAGCGCACATAGATTCTTAAAACCTGTATAGGATTTTTAATACTTCCTAAGCTTCTTCCCTTAAATATTTTTCCCTTACCGGGGTAGGGGTTATAGTATAGTAATCTTAATAGAATAAAAGTAGTATTAGGTAGCCTATAATAGTTTTATACGGGGATATACCGATATTTTCGTAAGGAAGGGAAGTTTAAATAATATTGAGTACCGGGAATATTTCTAACTAATTATCCTAATTATAATTAACGAATAATTAAAGACGTTAATTGATATATTAATTTATAATCTCTATTTAACTAGTAGTCTAGGAGTGTCCTAAAGAAGATAATTTCTATTTAATACCGAGAATCTTTAATATTTCGTTAGTAAATAAAGAAATAAATTATAGTCTGCAATTGTTAATTATTTCTTTTAAATAGCCGTATACTCTCTAAAGGCTATAGTAATAAAAATAAGCTACTTATTTAGCTATTATAATATCCTTATATAAAATATACTATAATACTTTAGATAATCGGTTTACTATTACTATTATATTATTATAACCTCTTTTATCCCGGAATATACTTTTAAAATTAATAATAATATATTACTATAATTAATTAGGTATACCTAAAGGGTGTAAAAGATTAGGGGTTTTATTATATGGGACCTTTAAAGTTTTATAAATCTAATAGTTATTAACGAATCGGTCAATATCGTTCGATATACCTACCTACTAATATTATTAGAAAATAAGGCGGCGTATTTTATTCCGGCCGGGGTATTTTGTAATTAGGCGGGAATAGGCTTTATAAATAAATACGCGGTGAAGGTTACTTTCGGGTACTATAAATTAATTAAATTATTTAAGTAATAGGTTATCTAATTAGATAGTAAATTTAGGATCGCTATTTTTAACCTTTGTTTAATAAATTACTAACGTAGGGTCCTCTCGGTTAACCTTCAATAGTATATTAATTAATTCTATTCTAAATAATAATAGGGGTTTTTCTCTATCGTTTAATAAGTATAGTTCGGCTATTAATACTTATACTTTAATTACGGGTATATCTCCCTTATCTCTTATATAAGAATATATTTTCCGGCTATTTTAATAAAAAAGACGGAGGGTTTTCTAATCCTCTTTTTTATTTTTAATAGTTCGGAGGTCTTTCGATTTTCGAGAAAGAACGTTAGTAACGATATTTTCTTTACCGGGCCGATATATAAGCTTAAATGTATATTAGGATATAAATTCAGCTTAACTAGCCTAATAGGAATTAAAGAATTGTTTAGTCGAGAAATATTCTAATACTTAGTAATCTGTTATAATTAAAAAAGAGTAGACTCCTATCAATTCTACGTACTAAATTTCGAAAACCTTTATTACCGCTAATAATTCCTTATTATAGATAGTATAATTTATTTCCGCTAGGAGTATAATTTCTAAATAGAATATTACTAAATACTATTCGTTATCCTTAAATTATAATTATAATATTACACCGGCACAAACCCTATCAAAAGCATCTATTTTAATTCGGATTAACTTTTTATAATAAAAGTAAATAAAGACGGGAGCCTTTAATAAACGGTCTCTTAATTTATTAAAAATAGTCTAATATTCTTTAATTTATTAGAAGGGTATATCCTTTTTAATAAAATTAATTAATAAGCGGGTAACCCTTCCGAATTCTTTTATAAACTTTCTATAGAAATTATAGAACCTGATAAAAGATTGGACTCCCTTTATATTAGTAGGCTCTTTCTAATAGCGGATAATAGAAACTTTATTAGGATTTATAGAAACCCTGTTTATAAATATAATAAAATTTAGAAATTTAATAGAAGTAATATAAAATTCGTACTTCTTAATATTAATTTGTAGTCTAACGTCCCGGAACCTTTCTAATACTTTC